CCTCCACCCTCTTCCCTCTTGCAGTTTATAGATGTTTTTTGGCAGGGCCGGTAAATTGTTTTTTCGCAACCACCCCCTCTCTATCGCTGGCATTTACAAGCCTTTTTTTCCTCGTCTAGGGAGGAGGGTATTCTTCTCAAGTAGGGGGGGGGGAGGGCCAAGAGCGCGCCGAGGATCGTTCGTGCCAGCGCCAAACTCACTCGACACCGGACGGACATGGCCGACGGGGACCGCGACATCGAAATACCACAACAAACATCGGGCGCGCCAATGATGATGATTGCTACTGCTGTCATGTAGTCACCAGACTCATCAGCTTGTCAGGACTACTTCCAGTCACTGAGAAGAGCTGACGACGCTCTGCAGATCTGTCAGCAGGTCCTCGATCAAGCTGGCGCTTCCTACCCAGTCGACTCGCTTGTGATCTTTCATGCCTTTTCTACCCTCACCGCGGTACTTCCCAACCGTTGGCACATGCTCGAGGCTGAAGACCAAAATGGCTGGCTTAGCCTTCCGCTCGACTTTGTCCGTCGCCTCGCGCCGGATCGCTCGGCAAAGCTCTCGTCGTCCGCCCGCAGGCAGGCCATCGTCCTCCTCGCTGCCGTTCTCAAATGCGGCTGGCTTGACGCATCCGACGAGCTCTGCATCTCTCGCATTAGCGTTTTGACCGAGCCGCTCCATGCCGCCTCGGGATCGCCCGAGGACGAGCTCCATCTCGAGATCCTCGTCCATGTCGTCGAGCAGTTCTCGCCGCGCCATGACACCACCCGCATCGGCCTGCCTGTGGAAGCCCACCTTGCCACTGCCGCTACCTTTCAGAACTTGGCCCTTCCGCGCATCTTCCACGCCGCCGGCTGCCTCCTCGACGTTTTAACGCTGCGCCCACGCTCGACTCGCCGCGGACCGTCATCCGCCTCGCCAATCTCTTTGAGCTTATCCTCGAGTGGAACTTTGACCTTCCTTCCATCGCCGCCGCCCCAGGCTCCTCGCGCGCACTGCAAACGTCGTCGTCGAGCTGCCCACTCCTCCCCCCACAAGAGTGGTGGGAGGTTATCCTCTGCGACCCGTTCATCACCGCCATCTTTGCCCTCTACCGCCGCTGCGCTGACGCTTCGCCGGCGACCCACCTCCGCAATCTCATTCTCCGCCTCTCCTCGCTAGACGTCGCAAGAATGGTGGCGGATGCAGGCTCCGACGTTCTCGCCTTTGCCGGCCACATCGACGCCCTCCTCCTCGCTCACATCTTTGAAATCCTTGCCCGCTCTGGGCCCGAGCCCGAGGTCCTCGCTATGGCCGAGGCCATCAGCAACGTCGTTGTCCATGGCACTTGGGCCACCCTCACCGCTGCGCCCGATGCCGAAGCTACCCTCGCCTCCATGTGCGAGCTCACGCGTTCGCTCCTTGTTGCCGCCTCAGGTGACGACCTTGACGACGAGTGGCTCTTTGAGGCCTACGACCACCTCCACGTTGCATGGGTTCACATGGCCACCTCTACCGACTACTCCGACGCCGCGCCGTACCTCGCCTCGGTCACCCCGAGCTCTTCTCTGCATACATGGCCTTTCTTCTCGGCGCAAACAAGTCGCTTGAAGCCTTTGACGCCGACGCCGCCCTTGCCCTCGACCGCGTCGTTGACCAGATGCGCGGTCACGGCCTGCTCGCCCGCCTCGCCCTTGGTACCAACCTTGCTGCTCTTCGTGATTGCATCGACTCGGCGCTCGGCTCGCTCCTCTCTGCTCCGCACGCTTCCGAGGCTCTCCGCTGGTCGCTCTACATGCTCGCCTTTGTTCTCTGCGACGTGCCCGAGGAGTGCTCGCTGCCCATCGTTGCGCCCGCTCCGCTCGCCGCCACCGTCGACCTCACCTCGCCGTCCGGCTCGTCGCCCGCATCAGCTCGCCTCTCCTCTGACGTCCCGCTCATCCCTGACGCTGTCATTGCCGTCAGCTCTGGCTATGACGAAGAGCCCGACAGTGACCCGGTCCTCGGTGTTGCCTTTGCCGTCCTCGGCCTCCTCACCCAGCCTGAGCTCCTCGCCCGCCTCCCACTCTCCACCTCGCGTGCCATCCTTGCTTTTGTTGGCATCTGGGCCCGGACCTACGTCCTTCCGCAGCGGCAGGACTACGCCGCGCTCCCGAGCCATTTTGCCGCCGCCCTCTCGTCAAGTTCACTCGTCGAGTCGCTCGTCTCCGCCGTTGTCCTCCAGCTTGAGCTCTGCGGCTCGGCATGGCGGGTTCAGCGCGAGAAGCTCGGCCTCGCCGCCGCTGCCTCGCACATGCTCTCCTCGGTCATGGACTCGCGCCCGCTCGCCCGCGTCGCCCTCGCCGCGCCCTCGCTCCCGGCGCTCTACACAGCTTACCGTGCTGTCTGCGACGAGCACCCGTCGCTCGACCTGGCGCCGGACGCCGCCGCCACCTCGGTCGCCTTTCACTACCACATGCACTACGCCCTCGGCGCCATGCTCGAGGGCGGTGTCGACCGCTCGGACCTCATTCAGCCAGCATTTGACCAGATCTGTACTCCGCTTGTTGCGCGTACCCTTGCTACCCTCGAGCCACCGCTGAACCTCAGAAACCTCGAGCCAGTCACCTCAAGCCTCCTCACCGAGCATCTCGCCTCCCTCCGCGGCATTCTCTCGGTCTCGGTTCCTGTCACCGCCACTCCGCTCGCCGGCCTGCTTACCGGCTCGGACCTTGGCGGCCGCCTCGTTGATCTTCTCGGTGCCGCTCTTGCCGCCATCGCCAGCCTTGGTGACGATGCCTCACCTCCTGCTGCCGACGTCTACGCAGCCATTGCCACCGACGTGGTCGCGGTCTTTGGCGCCGCCGCCGCCGCACAGCTCCCGCACTTGGACCTTGACGCCAGCTCGGATCTCTGCGCCACCGTTTTTCACGTCGTCGAACTCGCCGCGCAGTTCTGCGCCGCCGCGTCGGAGCTCCGCGCAGCCTCCGACGTCCTGCCCGAGCTCCTCGCCCTCGTCCTGGGCCTGGTCCACTCGGTCGGGCTCAAGGACATGTTCGATTTTGGCGGCTCTGGTGAGTCGCTCACAGACCTTGTCTGCGCCTTTGTCATGCAGGCTCTCGCGTCGCTGCTTCCGGTCATCGAGCCGAAGCACATCCGTATCCCTGGCCTCGCCGCCGCCGTCTTTGGCCTCCTCGAGTTTGCCTCCTCGCGCTGGCCGGCCGCCGTCGTCGAGCTCGACCCCCCTATCTTTGCCGCCTTTAACGCCATCGCCACCTACGGCCTTTACGACGCACACCAGCCGCTTCAGGCCAAGCTCGCGCTCGACGTCCTCTCCAACGTTCTCTTCTACCACGGCTCCCAGCTCGCTGCCGGTCGCGAGCCGCACCTCGGCCGGCACATCGACGCCAACCCGGAGCTCCTCACCAGCCACCTCCTCTCGCTTCTCCAGGCCACGCTTCTCGATGAGTTTGATATGAACCTGCTGCCGGCCGCCTCTAGCGTCCTCTTTGCCCTCATCTGTACCATCTCGTCTGAGTTTGAGGAGCTGGCCCTCTCGCTCGTGAGCTCAGTTGCCAAGCCGCATCTCCAGCAGCGTCTCATCGACGCGCTGCACTCTCTTGGCGACGCCATCACCCCACGCTTCGAGCGCGCCCACCGTCGCACTTTTGCTGCCGCCTTTAAGACCTTTGTCTATGACGTGCGGCCGTTTCTCTGCATCAAGTAAACTTGCTTAGTTTACTTGCCCAGCGTGCTCAACTCGCACCTTGCCGCATCGCACGATGGGTAGGGTTGAGCTGGTGCGGGTGGATCGGATAGCGTGCCGCAGGTGCGGATCTGAGCCAGAGAAGAATCGGCAGCATGTGGTGCAGTTGACGAGGAGGGGGGAGGGGAGGTTGTCATTTGACAAATGATGGACATCGATGAGCCGATGTTGCAAAAGGTATACGGCTGATCGTTGTGGGGAAGGAGGGGGGGGAAGGGGGGAGAGGGAGGGAGGGAGACCGGCCGAATCACATTGGGTCAGTCAGGCACGATTTCGGCAGAGTCACGAAGCTACAGACAGCCCGGACGACCACCCGTCTAACCACCACATACCGCAGGCAAACAGAAAGGTAGAGTACGTGACATGCATGAGTGGATAGGACGTGGGAGAGGGAGGGGGGGGGGGGGAGGGAGGGAGGGGAGAGAGAGGGGGAGGAGGCGGTGGAGGTGAAGGGGGTGGTGGAGGAGAGGCTTCCATCGAAGTCGGACATGCGGTAGAAGGGGTGAATGGCGGGAGAGGGGAGAGGGCATTCGATGGGCTTCGATGACTTATTTGCTACAAAAAGAGTGCCAGGGAAAGGAGCAGGTGGTAGCAGGACATTATGGCAGCAACAAGAACAACAGCTGCGTCGTCAGTTTTATCGTCATCATCATCATCAGCATCAGCATCAGCAGCCAAAGTAGAAGCAGAAGCGACATCATCATCTTTACAGTTGGGTGAGACCAAGGCAGGCCCAAAGCCGCTGATACAAGAGCCAGCAGTGATGACAGTCGACGATTCGGCGGCGCTAGATGCCATGGCAAGGGACTTTGACGAGTTTGGTTCCGACTCGGACTCGGACGATGGGATCGAGGTCGGTTCTGAGGCGCGACCGGACGGCGAGTGCGGCATGGCGCGGCCGCCGACGGCGCTGCTCTCAGACGACAGCGAGGACGTGGCCGGGGTGGTGACTCAGGTACGGGCTGCGATGCTGGTGGGCCAGGGCGAGGCCATTGTGGAGGTGGGGGTGGACGCCGATGGCGCGGCCGAAGGCCTGACCATGGAGCAGCTGGAGGACGCGCTGGAGGTTCTCGAGGAGCGGGCTGCGACGGAACTGGAGGCGCAGATGACGCGGCTGCGTGTGCGTGAAGTCGAGGGTGGGGCTGTGGCGGAGGTGCTTGTGCGCGCGCTGCCGAGCGCGGCCGAGTTTTGCGAGATCCGGGTGGCGGTGGTGGGCAACGTCGACTCTGGCAAGTCGACGCTGCTCGGGGTCCTCACACGGGGCAAGCTCGACGACGGGCGCGGTGCGGCGCGGTCGTGCGTGTTCCGGCACTCGCACGAGATCGAGTCTGGGCGGACGTCGTCGATCTCGCAGGAGATCCTGGGCTACGACGCCGGGGCGGAGATTGTCAACTACACGTTTGAGCGGACGCCGTCGTGGTCTGCCATCTGCGTGGCGAGCTCCAAGGTCATCACGTTCCTGGACCTCGCGGGCCACGAGCGGTACCTCAAGACGACGCTGTTTGGGCTGACCGGGATGAACCCGTCGTACGCGATGATGATGGTGGGCGCAAACGCGGGCGTGATCGGGATGACCAAGGAGCACATGTCGATTGCGCTTGCGCTCAAGGTTCCGGTGTACATGGTGGTGACCAAAATCGACATGGCGCCGCCCAACGTGCTGAAGCGGACGCTGCGCCAGCTCTCCAAGCTGGTCAAGTCGCCGGGCGCGCGCAAGGTGCCGATTGTGGTCAAGACCATGGACGACGTGGTGGTGGCGGCGCGGTCGTTCCTCATGCACCGCATCTGCCCGATCTTCCTCGTCTCGAACGTGACGGGCGAGAACCTGGACCTGCTGCGGGCGTTCATCAACCTGCTGCCCGCGCGGACTGAGTGGTCGCAGCTGACCGAGGCGCCGGCCGAGGTGTGCATCGACGACACGTTCTCGGTGCCGGGCGTCGGGTGCGTTGTCTCGGGCACGGTGCTTTCGGGCGGGGTGACTGCTGGTGACTCGCTACTCCTGGGGCCCAACGCCTTTGGCGCCTTTGAGCCTGTGACGATCAAGTCGATCGAGGTGCGGAGGCACCCGACCAAGGCGGTGACGGCCGGGCGGTCGGCCTCGTTTGCGCTGAAGAAGATCAAGCGGTCGGCTATCCGCAAGGGCATGCGCCTGCTCGCGGCCGAGCTCGAGCCGCAGGCCGTGTGGCAGTTTGAGGCCGAGATTCTCATCCTTTACCACTCGACCACCATCTCGCGGGCGTATGAGGCTGTTGTCCACTGCGGCAACGTCCGACAGGTTGCCAAGATCATCGACATTGTGTCTGCCTGCGACGCGACAGGCGCGCCGCTGGCCGACGCCGACATGCCGTCGGACGCGCGCGACCTTGTCCTTCGCACAGGCATGCGCGCCAAGGTCATCTTCCGCTTCCTCTACGCGCCGGAGTACCTACCGGTTGGCTCGCGGCTCATCTTCCGCGACGGTCGGACCAAGGGCGTTGGCCGAGTCCTCACCTGCCTCGCTGACCCGGTCGACGTTGGGCCCATCCGCCCGTCCGACCGTCGCGCCGCAAGCAAGGCCCGCGCCGCCAGCAAGCGCGTCGGCCGCCCCGCCGATGGCGCTGCTGCCGCCGGCACACAACCGGTCGCCACCGCCGGCAGCTCCTCGCAACGCCGCAAGAAGCGTGGCAAGAAGCAGAAGACTGTGATCAAGCCGATCTCAGTGGCATGATGACGGCGGCCACCGCGCCATGAGTGGCGGCCATGTTGAAAATGAAGCCGTGACCAAGTTCCGCTACCTCGCGCACGCACACGGTATATCTAACTGTACTCGCCTGCAGCTGAGCCCTTACAGAGCGAGAGTCCAATACACTTCAGCGACAGCGCGAGCAAGTAAAGCATGTACGCAGATAGAAATCTATGGATGGGGATTGGGAGTTGGGAGGGGGAGTGTGCCACGGCGGAGGAGACCAAACAGAGTGCCTGAATTTTGCAAGAAAACCCAAGCAAACATCCACGTGGCCAAAGACCACGGCGGGAGAAGAGACCGAGACCGAGGCGGCACACTCCTCGACGAACAACACAGTACGTTAGGCGGCATATCCAGGCCAAGGACCAACAGCCCCCCCTTTCCCCCCACACACACACCCTACACCACCACCACCACCCCTTTTCTACCTAATCCATCCCACCCCCACCCACCATCTCCACCATCCACTATCCCAATCCCCATCCCCTCTCCCTCCCCTCCCCTTCCCTCCACTCGGCGGGGATGGAATGACGTGGCATTGAGCCGCATCCACCGCTCAACCACCACCACTGCCACCACCACCACTGCCACCACTGCCACCACCACTGCCACCACCACTGCCACCACCACCACCACCACCACTGCCACTGCCACTGCCACTGCCACTGCTACCACACACACACTCACACACATACACTCACACACACACACACACTCACACACATACACACACTGACTCACCCCACCACCACCCCCACCCCCTCACCTCCCCCCCCCCCCCCCGCACACAGCTATGGCCGCCACATCGTCGAATGCAGTGCCTGCCACGGATGCGCCCACCTGGACCAATGACACGCCGCTGTTTTCGCCCACTACCCGGTGCCTGATCTACAACCCCAAGCCCAACCCCATTCAGCGCCAGCTTGACTTTGACTACCTTGCCCGTCGGGGTACGCCCTCGGTGGCGGCGCTTGTCTCGCCAGGTGCTGCTCGTGGTCGGCACAAGGTCTTCTTTGGCTCGCAGGAGATCTTCCTTGACATCTTTGGCAACATCGCTGATGCTACCGCTGCCCATCCCGAGGCTGATGTCATGCTCAACTTTGCCTCGCAGCGATCGGCCGCCGCGTCGACCTCGGAGGCCCTCGACTACCCCTCCATTCGCACCGTCGTCATTATTGCCGAGGGCGTGCCCGAGAAGGAGACCCGCAAGCTCATTGCCAAGTCCAAGCGCCTGAGCAAGTGGATCATCGGCCCGGCCACCGTCGGTGGCATCCAGGCCGGTGCCTTTAAGATCGGTGACACCGCCGGCACCGTCGACAACATCCTTGCCTGCAAGCTCTACCGCCCGGGCTCGGTCGGCTTTGTCTCCAAGTCGGGCGGCCTCTCCAACGAGTGCTACAACATTCTCTCGCGGACGACCAACGGCCTGTTTGAGGGCATCGCCATCGGCGGCGACGCCTACCCGGGCTCCAACTTTGCCGACCACATCCTCCGCTACCAGGCCATGGACCAGGTCAAGCTCATTGTCATGCTCGGCGAGCTCGGCGGTGACGCCGAGTACGACGTCGTCAAGCTCCTCAAGGACGGCACCATCACCAAGCCCGTCGTCGCCTGGGTCTCTGGCACCTGCGCCACCATGTTCAAGACCGAGGTCCAGTTTGGCCACGCCGGCGCAAAGTCCGGCTCCGAGGCCGAGTCGGCCCAGGCCAAGAACGCCGCCCTCGCCGAGGCCGGTGCCGTCGTTCCCACCTCGTTTGAGGGCTTTGAGCAGGCCATCGCCGACACCTACGCCAAGCTTGCTGCCGATGGCGTCGTCCCGGCCTTTGACCCCAACGAGCCCGAGCCGCACGTCCCGCCCACCATGCCCGTCGACTACGAGACCTTTGCCGCCGAGGGCCGCGTCCGCCGCGCCACCGGCATCGTCTCCACCATCTGCGACGACCGCGGTGAGGAGCCGACCTACGGCGGCGTTGCCATCTCGGACCTCATGGCCGCAGAGCGCGGCATCGGCGATGCCATCTCGCTGCTCTGGTTCAAGCGTGACCTCCCGCGCTGGGCCACCCGCTTCATCGAGCTCGTCCTCGTCCTCTGCGCCGACCACGGCCCGTGCGTCTCGGGCGCCCACAACACCATCGTCGCCGCCCGTGCCGGCAAGGACCTTGTCTCCTGTGTTGCCTCGGGTCTCCTCACCATTGGCCCGCGCTTTGGTGGCGCCATCGATGGCGCCGCCCAGGTCTTCCTCGACGCCCACGACCGCGGCCTCGAGCCCGATGAGTTTGTCGCCGACATGAAGCGCCGCGGCCTCCGCATCCCGGGAATCGGCCACCGCATCAAGTCGGCCGACAACATGGACCAGCGTGTCGTCTTTATCACCAACTACGCCCGCGACAACTTCCCCTCCACCACCCACCTTGACTACGCCCTCGCCGTCCAGTCCGTCACCCTCAGAAGGCCCGCAACCTCGTCCTCAACGTCGACGGCGCTGTTGCAAACGCCTTCCTCGACCTGTGGGCCTCGAGCTCGTCCTTTGGCCGCGAAGAGATCAAGGAGATGACCCAGATCGGCTACCTTAACGGCCTCTTTGTTGTCGCCCGCTCCATCGGCCTTGTCGGCCACTCGCTCGACCAGATGCGCCTCAAGCAGCCGCTCTACCGCCACCCGTGGGACGACACCGCCTACTACTGCGAGTAACGGGCTCTCGGTCGCCACGCAACAAACACACATACATAGCCGCTGCCTTTCACTCTGCCGCATAGTTGAGCGAGTGCACTGCTCCGCCGCCGCCGCTCATCTCGGGCCGATCCGTGACCGCCGCCACCACCGCTGCCATCACCACAAACACCGTCACAAAAGTGACTATCGGCTTGAAAAGCCACAACGCGGTCGAGGACGACGACGACGGCGGCGGCATAGCTCCCGCTCCCGTTCCTGCTCCCACTCCGCGAGCGGCATCCGCACCCGGAGCCAGCGACGCCTGGAACAGCTCCACGCGCGCCGCAGCATCGGCGGCAGACAGCAGCCCGTCCATCGGGTGCTCGTCCAGTCCGAGCGTGACGTTGATGAGCGAGACGGCAAAGAGGCGGACGAGGAAGACGCGATACGCCGCCAGTGCTGGGAGCACCTCGGACGCCGGCTCGGCTCCAAACGCCGCCACCAGCAGATCGTCTTCGGATCCAGATCCCGCCGCCGCTACCAAAGCAGGCGAAGTGGTGACCGATGCCAGCCCTGCTGCGTCTAGCCCGGGAGCCAGCATGGCCAGCGCTGCCGCCAGAGCCGAGCCTTCGACGTGAAGATCCCAGGCGGCTCGACAGAAGGCGGCCCGTGATTCTGGAGCCAGACTCGCCCAAAAGCCTGTCCATGCCGACCGCAGCGGGACACAGGCCCGCGCAGCCTCGACCAGCGCCTCGCCTGCTGTCTCCAGCCGCTCCGCTGCAGCATCGACGTGTCGGCTCAGGTTCGGATCGCCCAGAATGGCCGCCACCGCCGCCTCGGGCTCCACCCCGCTCCCGCCAGCAGCCACCAGCGGTCCCAGCACCTCGGCGAAGAGCGCAGGCAGACTCTCACCCATGCCCTCTCCCTCTTGGCTCATCGTCGTCTGTCCGGGCCTGGCACGTGAGAGGTGGCTTTGTGCTCCCCACCCCCACCCCCCCCCCTTTCCCCTCCCCTTTCCTTCGGCACTGTGCCGACGACCACGCGGCGGCTGACAGAGCCGGCTGACTGACAGGCGGTCGGCCGAGCCGAGTGACACGCGGGCGCCACTAACCGGACGATGGGGCAAAGCAAATGAGGAGGTGGAGTAGGGGAGGGGGGAGGGGGACTTGGCCTGGTATCGGGCGATAATTGGGGGATATCTGGGTGTGCTGATGGTATGGCCGAGATCAGGTGGGAGGGTCAGGAGAAAGCGCTGCTGCCAGCCGCGCAGCGAGGGTAGAGTGGCCAGAGGCGGATGCGCGGCGGATGCGGTATGGATGACGTCGGATGTGGTTGAGGAATGGGCGAGGAGGAGATCGACCGACATAGAGTCGCCGTTTCTGGCAGCGGCGACTATCGCCGACGTCGGCTGGGTCATGCTGGCATCGGCTTGTGGATGGGCAAGGAGCGCGGCGAGAAAGTCGGTCTGGCGCGCCATGACTGCATCGAGAAGAGCGATGTTCGGATCGGTGAGTGGATGGGCGAGGAGAGCGTTGGTCACAGCCATGCTACCAGTGCGACAGGCTACGCGGAGCGCTTCACACTCGGTCGGATCGACCCGCGGATCGGCCAAGAGCAGCGCGACAGTCTCGACGGCACCGGCGGCGACAGCAATTCGCAGCGTCCGGTTGCGCCGCGAGCTCGGGTCGACTTGCGGATGGAGGATGAGCTCGTTGACAATGTCAAAGTGGCGATTGGTGGCAGCCCAGTACAGCGCGATGTTGTTTCTGGCCGACGGATCGGTCCGTGGATCGTCACAGAGCATGCGGACAATGTCGAGGTGGCCGTTCTCTGCGGCGTGGCTGACAGCTGCAGAGTCCTTGGCGGCCGGATCGACCCGCCCACAGGCCAGCAGCCCCGCTACTGCCCGATCCTTTCCAAGCAGAGCACATCTCCGTAGCAGCACGCCCTGATCGATGCCCAGTGCAAGCTCGCCGTCATCATGGAGGAGGAGCCACTCGACGAGCGCCTCGTTGGCCACCATTGCCACCGCCCGCACCATCGCAGCCCGCCCGACGCCATCCGAGACATGAAAGACAGCTTTGGCAACGTCCGGCAAGCCGCTCAGCACCGCACTCGCCGCCATCGGCCAGCACGGAACACCATCGCCAGTGTGAGTGAGTGCGCCTACCCGAGCCAGCGCCTCGACTAGGGCCAGCCACTCCGAGTCGCCCAGCGGCGGCGGGTCGAGATCAAACAGGCCAGCGAGCGGAGATGGCACCTGGGCCCAAAGCATGTTGCGGTCGTCCGGGCGAGTGACGGCGAGCGCCATGGCGGCTGCACGCCAGCGGGCGTGGTGGATGCAAGCGGCGAGACCTGTCCGGGCGGCGGCCTTGTCTGCGGCAAAGGCGTCGGCGAGAAGAAAACGATGCATGCGGGAGGAGGTGCAGGCGAGGGCAAGGTAGGCCTGCGCGGGGAGGTACACTGCTATGCCAAGCACGAGCTCCGGTGGAAGTGCCCCGAGGCCACGATCGGTCTTGCTCGCCTCGGATCCCGCCAGCCGCCCGCCCGACATGGAGACGTGTACCAACGCTTTGCGTGCCAAGCTTAGCATATTGTCCGCCTCACATCACATGTCACATGCACATGTACAGTGCTGTGCTGTGCTGTTGGATCATGTTCAAGAAGATCAGTCTTCATGACGCAGATTAGCCCGCAGATCAGATACTCTCACAACCAGACCTGCCTCGCCAAACCCGATCCCCCGCCCCCTTCCCCCCCCCCCCCCCTCGATCCCCATCGCACCCAATCCCTCCGCCAATCAACCCCACTATCAACCCCAGCACTCAACTTGCCCCCTCCTCCCAAGGCCAGCCGCCTTATGGCGGTGGTCGTGGTCTC